GTAACAAACAGCAGATGTACCGCCGCCCCCCACCCGGCCTGGCCCGGCGTACCTCAGGCTGTGTGGTTGGTTCTCCGGCTGTTTGGATCGTCACGGAAGTTGGGTCTCTTGTCGATTTGTAAACACCCCTTGCCTCCCTTTCCTTCCCCTCTTCCCTTTCCCTCCCCCTTCCCCCCCTCTACCAGCTTATTTCACCTGATGATTATACACCCTAACATTATATGGGTAGGTTAGGTTAGGATATTTTAAGCTTGGTTAGATTAGGTTAAGTTACAGTAGGTTTGGTTAGGTTAGGGTTCTCAAAGGCTCATACGACCAAATTTCCTCTAGGACATGAAAATGCATCTGACCGACTCACTCAAACCAGAATTTGTTGACACACACACATAAGAACATAAGAATTGAGGAAACTGCAGCGGGCCTATTGGCCCATACTGGGCAGTCCCATTTACACCCAACCCCTATTGCTCATAATTATAAGCATCCAACCTATGTCTGCAGCTATCCAGCGTATTCGAGTTAATGATAATATTTGGTAACTTGTTCCATTCATCCACTACTCTGTTTCCAAACCAGTGTTTACACACACACACACACACACACACACACACTTAAACTGACTCAGTAAAACAGACAAACGCACGGAGCAGCAGATTGCGACAACCCCAGTCCCTCCTTCACCTAACGAGGATGGAGAGTGATGAATTGCACTTCTGGCACGTCTTGGTCTGATTGGTTGATCCACTCTTGACGCTAATTGGCCGGAAAGTTGCGTTGCTCTCTGGTCTTATGTATTTATTACAATTATTTTGAATATTATTATTATTAGAACCTAACCTAACCTAACCTAACCTAACCTAACGTATCTTAAGTCTTAATATACCTTAACCCAAACAAACATGGCTTAACCTAACTCATTTTACCTGTAGGTTATTGCCATTCAGCCTGGCCGCACACACACACACACACACACACACATGGACGTTTTATGACAGTAACAGTATAAGAAATCCTTAACTCTCTTATATAAACCAAATGAAGGGCTTAAGACGCTCCCTTACGTTGTGGTTCAGAGCTAAGAGTTTATCCAAGACCAAACCAGTTTATAAGCCACCCACAGCACGGGGCGTGTGACGTGTTCTGCAAGGCTGGTAATGATCCCGTCTCAGCTAAGGCACATTTATGAGTACTCGCGGCTCATACTTACAGACTGTGTGGCAGTACGTGAATAAAAACTAACAGTGTACCTTGGAGATTCTCGATTGGATCCCACGAGATAGGAAAAGATTACCAATTGCCAGGCGAATAGATGAAATTGGAAAGTAGGGAGGTGCTTAGTGTATGTGTGTGTGTGTGTGTATCCCCTTAAGCACTTCAGTTCTATCACACGGGATCGCCAGCATGTTATGACGCAGTACAACACGGTATAGTTGACCCAGAACATAAACGCCCTTGTGAACGGAACTCCACCCTCCGCCCAACTAGGGAAATCACCGAGGCTTCCTTCCTATACGGGTGGTGGGCCGTCTCGTCTCCCAGGATTCATTCACACACCGGATGCTGTCGTTCTCTCTCTCTCTGTACGGAAGACCTGATTACCCTCACACGGAAGATCTGATTGTGGGAAAATCAGATAAACGGAAAATTTGTTGGGGGATTCTGTGGGTTTATTACCTGATGGTGTAGGCGGAGGTAGTGGTAGTGGTGGTGATAGTGGTTGTGGTAGTGGTGGTGATAGTGGTTGTGGTAGTAGATCCAGGAGGGGGTGTAGGGTGCCGTGGGGTGTAAGAGGGGGTTAGAGACCTTGCCACCAGTACTATGGACCCCTCCCTTGCCTTCTCTTAGTGACCTTGAGTTGCTTGTCATTGTACTGATCCCCCTCCCGTCCTTCACTCAGTACTCCTACTCCTCCTCTACCCTCCCCCCTTTATCCTCCTCCTCCTACCCCTCCCCCTTTATCTCCTCCTCCTCCCTCCCCTTTATCTACTCTCTCTCTCTCTCTCTCCAACCTTGATACTCCCTCATCTTTCTCTCCGCAAGATAAGAGATAAAAAAACCTCCTGACGGGTTTAGTGTAGCAGGCGGGAGCTGAGGCGATGTTGAGTCAGCTGTACACGCCTTAACAAGGAGCTCCCTGTATAGCGTAAGGGCCTCGAGACTCCAACGACGGCGTAAGGACTTAAGACTGTATCGAGTATATATGGTAGCCTTCCACCCACTTATGGTCACACCGAGGCCCTCTAAAACTCAGACCAGTGACGTGTAGGACTCTAAGTGTGTGTGTGTGTGTGTGTGTGTGTGTACTCTGGCTCAGTACTATGTGTGTGTTTGTGAGTCACGTCTCGGTAGTGGTTGTGTGAATGATTAAATTGGTGTTGTGTAGCGGCAGTGTTCCGGAGCCTGAGGAAGGTTTTTGTGTGTGTGGTGGAACTGTTCTTATGTTGTGGGCGTCACCAGTGTGTGTATGTGTTTCGAGGAGGAGGACGCCCATCTGATTGTTGGTGCCTCGTGCTGCTGGTGACAATGATGGTGATGGGGGTGGTGATTGGTGGTGGAGGTGGTGATGGTGATGATGGTGATGATGGTGATTGGTGGTGGAGGTGGTGATGGTGATGGTGATGGGGGTGGTGATGGTGATGATGGTGATGGTGATATTACTGTTGTCTGTTGTTTTATTTTTCCTGTTTTTTACTGTTGTTATGTCACCACTATCACGCCCACATGAATCTAGGCGTGTATGTTGGCTTAGGGTCTGAGGGTGTGGGCGTGAAGTAGTCATGAATGGAGTCGCGGGCGTGAAGTAGCCATGAATGGAGTGGTGGTGAATGAGGCGTGGGTGTGGGCGTGGGCGTAACCGCTGTGAAGGATATACAGCAGGAGGGAGGAACGACTCCTACAGGAACTATGGGCAAGGAACACCACACGAGTCTCTCTCTCTCTCTCTCTCTCTCTCTCTCTCTCTCTCTCTCTCTGTGACCCTGTCTGACCTGACCTTACCCCCATACGCAACCCTCCGGAAACGCCATGTGACCTCTCAATGACCTGACCTGGCACCCCCTATCCACATACCCCTTGACACACTTCCTGACCTCACATGACCTCTAGGAACACGAAGTAAGGAGGGAATGAAATGGTTAGGTTAGGTTAGGTTATGTGACTAAGACTGACTTTGTTGTGTTTGTTGAGTAATGCTTGTTTGTTTGTAGTTTGTTATGGTATATCATAGGTCATTAGTGATTTTAATTAGCTGTATAGTAATTGTTTGTGTTTCTTGTTCATTAATGATGGATTAGTTTAATAAATAGCCTTTTGGTCAGGGTGTACTAGCTTACTATTGATACAAATTTAGTTATTATTATTATTATTATTATTATTATTATTATTATTATTATTATTATTATTGTTATTATTATTATTATTATTGTTATTGTTATTATTATTATTATTATTATTATTATTATTATTATTATTATTTTTCTTCCCTACAGGTGAGTGTGGGTGGCGCAGGTGTAGCTAATGGGTAGTGACAGGTAAGCAAATCACAGGGGAAAAAAGTCACAATATTGGTTGGGAAAAAAGTCACGGGAAAAAAGTTCCATTATACTGTATGTATTTTTTTTCTACATTCATGTGAGGTGTATTAATGTTAGGTCAGGTTAGTATTTGATCATGTGTTGTATTAGTAGTATTGGCTGTTGATATACTGGCAGCTACTCATAATTTGACAAGATTTAATGATGTTGACAGTTTAATGAGGCAGAACTTATTGTGTTATGAGTAATGTTGTTAGTTTATTGAGTCGGTAAGTTGTAGATATAAAATTGTAAAATATTAATAACACTGAATTTGTTGTTGGAAAGTATACATTATTATTCATAGTGATGATTTATACAGCCAGAATGTTATCTATATACATAAATTATACAATATTGATAATACTGGCAATATTTATTAAACATAATGTGACGTAAAGTATAGTATAGCTTTAACGAAACTAACACGACTGGTAATTACAAAGTGTGTGGTTGTCGTGACGAAAATAGTGACGTTAACAATACAGTATGATCGAAAAGTCACTGTGCACCAGTATTAATTAACATTACACCTGTTCCTCGTTATACCTTACCTAGTGTTAATAACTATAAGTGCACAGGTACTATTCGATCACTGTCTGTATATCACCTTTACTGAGTCAATATCAAGGCCGCAGTAGTCGTGTTTTGGTGACCTCCATTCTCCCCGAAAGGTCAAAGGTCAGGGTCTCTTATTACCACCGAAGGGCAGAGATGCAACAGGAAGCCGCCAACACCCCCTCCCCCCCCCAGGCTGTTCCTCACCATCGCCTCCGCTTGAATCACAACATAAAAATGGAGGAAACTGCAGCGGGTTTATTGGCCCATACTGGACAGTCCCGTTTACACCCAAACCCCTATCGCTCATATGTCCATCCAATCTATGTTTGAAGCTATCCAGCGTGTTCGAGTTAATGGTGATGTTTGGTAACCTGTTCCACTCATCCACTACTCTATTTCCATACCAATGTTTACCTAGTGCAGATTAAGATGCTTTAACCTGCCTCTGTACTCAAGGTTCCTAATGCCCGGGATTAGTCTTGTCATTCTCCTCTTTTTGCTTTTTAGAGATTCGAGAGAGAGAGAGAGAGAGAGAGAGAGAGAGAGAGAGAGAGAGAGAGAGAGAGAGAGAGAGAGAGGAGAGAGAGAGAGAGAGAGAGAGAGAGAGATAAGTTACTTGACTCATAAGATAATAATGTAGTTGATGCAAAAAATTTAAGATTCTCATCAGTGGTTGAGTCAATGTCTCAGTGATGTGCTTGTACTGGTAAAAACTAACCTAACCCCTCGACCCAAGTTTTTGTGATCGTCTGCCATGGTTGATCGAGCCTTGCTGCCCTTGTGACCCGCCCTGGGCAAACATTTACTGTGGGACTCCTCATTCATTCTCTCTCTCTCTCTCTCTCTCTCTCTCTCTCTCTCAATTACCTGAAGCTCCTCAAGGTAGGCACCGTGGGTCGAGAAGTCAGGCACCAAGTTCCCTCTGCCCTGTTCACCCCTAACTCCTTCAGGATCTCCGGCCACCAGGGACATCCTACAGGGTCCTCTTGGTCACGCTTCTACCAATCCCACGGTTCCTCCTCCCTACCAGAATGATGACGCCAGATTTGCATTCACAAGCTTAGAGAATTTGTTCAGAAATGTCAGTACAATGTTTGGTTCTGGGTAAATGGACAGGTAAAGTAATTAAGTCCTCATATTGTGGCAGTGTTGGACAGGTGGACTAGAATATAGTAAGCTTGAGTGTAGTGAAGATTAGGAACCACCCTAGCTTATTTTACCTCAAGATCAAACACCCTAACTTTGAATGGAGCATCAGATTAGGTTCGGTTAGGTGAGATTAGGTTGGGTTAGGTTAGGTTTGGTTAGGTTAGGTTAGACCATAAGATAATCAAGAACATTATCCCACCTAAAACATTAATGAAAAACTTCAGATACATATTCAGAAACTTAGTGTCAGACGAGTCGGTTCCCACAAGTTTATTAAGGAATTTCAACATAAGATTCGTGTTTACATTCACAAACTTTGAGTCACAAACACGAATATAAGAACCGGATACGAATTCCACAAGTTTATTAACACATCAATACAGGAATCACGAGTTTAGTCAGTAAGTTTAGGCAATGATCTCAGTAAAGGTGTGTGTGTGTGTGTGTGTGTGTGTGTGTGTGTGTGTGTGTGTGTGTGTGTGTGTGTGTGTTTAATGACAGGTACAGGTGTGTTAAATATCACCTGGTAACACAACAAGTACATATTAAATGAGATATAAGACACGGACAGTTATTTCCACAGAGATATTATCGCTTCTTGATGGTGGAGACGGAACCTAACCTAACCTAACGTAACCCTGGAAATAGGATAGAAATATATACATTAAATCTTTCAAATTTAGTTATTTATACGGGTAGGAGAAAGGTAGGGATGGAGGGAAGGAGAGGTAGGGAGGAGAGAGAGAGAGGGGGGTGAAAGGAGAGAGGTAGGAAGGGAGATAGGGAAAGAAAGAGAGGGTTATGTAGGTAAGGAGAGAGAGGAGGAAAGGAGAGAGATAAGTATTGATATTGAAACAGTTTAATTAGCCAGATAAATACAGAGTCGATAATAATAATAATATTAATATGGCTGAGCTAGTTGAGAGCCTGAGCTCTCTTGAAGTAGGGAGGGAGATAGAGAAGACAGGAGAGAGGTAGGTAGGTAGGGAGAGACAGGAATGTGGTTGGTGTGGAGGAGGAGGTAAGGGGGGGATAGGTTGTATTATATTATCACATGATAGATGTGGACCCAACACCTCAATGAACGGACTGACCCATTCTTATTACACGCCGCCACCTCCTCCGCCTCCTCCCTCGCCCCTGGCTGATGCTGGAGATGCTCCCTGTCTGCTCACAGCCAGAACCGTGGGAAATGTCTCCTTTAGACATCCTGAACCGTGGGAAGTGTCTCTTTAGACATCCTGAACCGTGGGAAGTGTCCCTTTAGACATCCTGAACCGTGGGAAGTGTCTCTTTAGACACCCTGAACTGTGGGAAGTGTCCCTTTAGACATCCTGAACCGTGGGAAGTGTCTCTTTAGACACCCTGAACTGTGGGAAGTGTCCCTTTAGACATCCTGAACTGTGGGAAGTGTCCCTTTAGACATCCTGAACCGTGGGAAGCGTGCCTTGAGACATCCTGAACCGTGGGAAGTGTCTCTGCCTTGAAGAGGTTCAAGAAATTAAATGATAGTTGTACATTTCTAATTCCATTTAAAGTCCACAAACTCAATTAGTGTGTGTGTGTGTGTGGGCTACCATCTTGAAAGCCAAATCCTTGCTTCTAACTGGTGGAAATACCTCAATGAGTCATTCATAAGTGATTGTCAGGTGTTCGAGGAAACCGTGAGTCGGTTCCCCACTCACTGAGGCCATCCACCTCACACACACACACACACACACACACACACACACACCTTTCCTTCATATTATAATTACAACAGGAATGGTGTGACAACTCATAAGACGAAGGTTTTCTCACTCTCTCACCCCCAGTAAGTCTCTCACCCCCAGTAAGTCTCTCACCTCCAGTAAGTCTCTCACCTCCAGTAAGTCTCTCACCTCCAGTAAGTCTCTCACCTCCAGTAAGTCTCTCACCTCCAGTAAGTCTCTCACCTCCAGTAAGTCTCTCACCTCCAGCATCAGTAAGTCCTTCCCTGTCTGTCTCTCACCTGTCTCCTGACCTTGACTTAGCCTCCTCACCCCTACCTGAGACTCCCCCGAGGCTGCCACAGGCCACCATCACGCCGCTGTTCTCACGAGTCTTTACCCAGATAGACTCTTAGATGGAGAGAGAGAGAGAGAGAGGAAAATTCCGAGTGGACAAGCAGTTCCGGTAGTGACTATTCTTGTGGCTGCCCCGTTACTGGTGGGGGGGGTAAGGTTGGGGAAATGGGGGATGGTGTCAGATTAGTGGGGGAGGTGAAGTAATGGGAAATGGTGTAAGTGGTAGGTAGGAGGGAGTGTGGAAAGGTGTAGGGGATAGAGAAGGGAGGGGGAGGGTAAAGGGAGTGGTAGTGGGGAGGAGAATGGGATTATGAGTAGAGTGGGAAAGGAATGGGAGGAGAGGGTTGAAGCTATGAGGGAAAGAAGTGGTTCGTGGAAGGGGAAATGGTGTGGGGGTGAGCGGGAGGGGACTAGGGGAAGGGATTGGGTGTGGGGATTGCTGGAGATGGGGAGTTGGGAAGGGGTGGAAGGGATGGGGGAGATGTATGATATAGGGAAAGGAAGGATGAAATGGGAAGAGGTGAAGGGAGGAAGAGTAGGGGTGGAAGAGAGAGAGAGGAGGAGATAATTGGAGATGAGGGGAGGGGGGTGGAGGGAGAGAGAGGACCTGCAGGTGGAGAGAACTGAGAGGCAGGGAGAAGGGAGGGAGAGTGGTGAGGTGGAAGGGGGATAGGGAGGGAGGGAGGGAGGGAAGGCGTGGGAACACTGTTGGTGAAGGTGGTGGGGGGAGGAGTAGCGGCCGCCCACCAAGGACACACCCGCCCACTGTCTGCTGGTAGTGGTGGTGGTGGTGGTGGTGGTAATGGTAGTGGTGGTGGTAGTAGTAATAATGGTGGTAATGGTGGTAGCCTGTGGTTATGAAGTAAAAGGAGGGTAGGGGTGGGTAGATCTCTTGGTTGCACACACCACCACACACTACCACCACCCACAACCATCACTACCACACACTACCACCACTACCACCTCCACCTACCAGCACCACCACCACCACCACCACCACCACCACCACCACCACCACCACCACCACCACCACCACCACACAACCATCCTAATTGTTTGACTGTTAGTCACTCTACCTGCTGTGTGAAACAACCAACCACAAGGGGGTAGAGGGGTAAAGGGAGGTGTGGGAGAGGGGAGTGGAATGGAGTTTGTTGATAGAAGAGAGAGAGAGAGAGAGAGAGAGAGAGAGAGAGAGAGAGAGAGAGAGAGTTATTTTACAACATAACCTTGCAATATGAAGAAGACTCTCTCTCTCTCTCTCTCTCACCCTACAGCCACTGGGATGGACGGGCTGTGTTACTTTAAACAGGTTCACTGTATTGAGGTGGATGGCCTAGTTTCATCTGCTTCTTCATTCGTGTTTTAATGTGTGTGTGTGTGTGTGTGTGTGTGTGTGTGTGTGTGTATGTGTGTGTGTGTGTGTGTGTGTGTGTGTGTGGAGCATCACAGGTGAATTATAAGAGTTTGTTACATTAAATACAAACTTAGAACAAGCAAGTGTCTCTTAGGTATGACTGCGTTAGGAGACTTGAGTGGCGTGGTGCTTGAAGATGTGTTGTTAATTTATTGTGAAGATGTTGGAAATGTTAAAAGAATGTTGGAAATGTTAAAAGAATGTTGGAAATGTTAAAAGAATGTTGGAAATGTTAAAAGAATGTTAGGAATGTTAAAAGAATGTTAGGAATGTTAAAAGAATGTTAGGAATGTTAAAAGAATGTTAGGAATGTTAAAAGAATGTTGGAAATGTTAAAAGAATGTTGGAAAAGTTAAAAGAATGTTGGAAATGTTAAAAGAATGTTGGAAATGTTAAAAGAATGCTGCAAATGTTAAAAGAATGTTGAAAATCATGTTGAAAGCTTTTTGAAAACGTGATGGAAAAGTGTTAGGATATAATCGTAGTTTCTTCACTTCGCTATCATAAATTTCAGTCTATACATGTTCGGTATATGTTTTCTTCTCTGTAGGAACCTGTTTAAAACGCGTTGAGAGCAAGATGTGAACGTGTTGTGCAAGCGAGTGTGATGGTTGGTGGTGGTGGTGGTAGTGGTAATGGTGGTGGTGGTGGTGGTGGTGGTGGGGTTCAATATCATGGATCTTTCTGGGGACAACATGGCCAATTACCTGTGGCGGTGCCTCTCTCTCTCTCTCTCTCTCTCTCTCTCTCTCTCTCTCCACAGCGAATCTAGAGATGGCGTTTTAAAGGGTGAGGGAGGGGGGGAGGGAGGGGGAATGATGAGGAGGAGATGTTTTAAAGAGACGGAGGAGGTAGTGGTAAGGGAGTTAGAAAGGAGAGGGCAGATGGTGTGAAGGAGGGAGAGAAGGAGGGAGCGGATGTTATGAGGGAGTGTAATTTGAGAATGTTACGTGAAGAGATGCCTTGTGAGGGAGCATTGTGAAGTGTGAGGGAGGGTGAGAGGGAGGGAGATGTGTTTAAGGGCGAGAGGAGGTGTTAGTGAGTGGAGGAGGAGGGAGGAAAAGGAGGAGGAGGTGGTGGTAGTGAGGGAGACGGAGGTAAGTTAAAGGGGATGCAGTGAGGGAGAAGATGAAGGTGAGGGAGGGAGAATGGTGAGGAGGGAGAGATGGTGAGGAGGGAGGGAGGAGATGAGTGAGGGAGGGAGGGAGGGAGAGAGATAGTGAGGGAGGGAGGGAGGGAGGGAGGGGAGGGAGAGAGATGAAGGAGAGTGAGGGAGGGGGAGGGAGGGAGGGAGAGATAGTGAGGGAAGGAGGGAGGGAAGAGACAGTGAGAGAAAGAGTGAGAATGTTTGGGTTTCTCCC